TCTGTGATACACTTAATCTCAATATTCGCGCTAAAACAAACAGTATCACGAACGAACGTTAACTTCAACAATATCCTGTGACTGCAGTTCATTTACTCACTGTCCACCCACACATTACCTTACCCCTCTTTTATATACCAGCGTACCCTATATCTAGTAAGAAGTAGAACATTCGCCAAAGTACATGATAGTTCTAGAAACGTTGCGTCACGGTGGTCATGTGACTCGCTGACGCAACAATACCATAACAATAAAATAAGAGAGAACAATCTGATGAAGTCTCCTGGTGGGTCAGCGACTTAGAATGCTAAAATTGGGATTCGATTCCCGCCGTGGACAGAGCGCATATAATTAATTATATCTGGTGAACGAGATGGGACTCATACTGGATGTGGAATTGCTAAAATGTCAAAACTTTTAAAACTATTGATCTTTACACAATACAGAGTGCCAAGTTAAAGCTACGTATTTTAAGCTGGCATATAAATTTATTTCAACAGTTTCATGACGTTTAGATATTTCTGTATCTTATCAGTGTATAATATTTACTTTCAATTTTGGTAAATAAATAATCGAACAATTAGAATGCAGCATAATTATACTAAATTCATAGTTTAAATTTAAAATCCGATGGAATGATTTGTTAAGCATAAAACTACATAATGGGCTACCTGTGCACTGTGAAAAATCACTAACAAATTCGGCAAAGTAGATTGGCCATGAAAACTTTCAAATTTATGTGTGCGTACTTTGATTAACGTTTTTCTATATTATTCATTAAGTTGATAGACATTTTCTTATCTAATACAAAATGAAAGTAGTTATTTGAAAATCGGCAGTGATGTATGGATAGAGTGTAAGAGGTGAAATTTCTTACGTATCTTGCATATTTTGTGAGTGTATTAAATTAGGTGTAGGCATAGTACAGTTTCAGTTTTGTCATTCCTTTTGTTATCCTTATTAAGATTAGAGCTTTAAATGATTATTATTATTATTTGTAATAGGATGCGTCTGCCACAGACAATTAAAAGTATTTATAAGTAAATAAGGCGGATTAAATATGGCGCGGCATTCCACACTTTAGCTTTTTGCGACTGCGCGTGAACGTGGCAAGGCATAAACCTATCACAAGAGGCATTCGTCGGCCTTCCTGTGACGTGGGGCACTAGATGAAACATCGCGAGTGGCGCGCGCTGTTTGTGGAGGAAAACTGCTCTTGGCTTACTGATATTGCAAGAAGTTGCTGGCAGTAGGTTAATAATATGCGTAAAGTAGTTTGTATATTAAGACAGGTTAATTTCCTCTTTTCTTTTTGTTACAGTCAGTTTATTTATTCATTTATATTGGTGACAGTTTTGCATTAATTCGTGCATGAATTACAAAGTAAACTTACTTTAGTTTGAAAAGTAATATTTTCTGAATTTTCTAATTTAGTACAAATACTGAAATAGAATTTAGAAATTATTATTTATATGGATTAGGTAATAAAGATGGAGGTGGGTGGGAGGTAAAGACTAATAGCGATAGGGATACATCTAATTATACGCTAGAGTTATAAGTATTACACATTTACAGTATATACTATACTATTCTTAATACTAGTTAATAATGTAGTACTATTAGTACTGCAATTTGCAAATGCTAATGATAATAATCGTTTTCGTAATATTAGTATTAACAGTGACAGTAGTGCCACTGTGGAGTGTCGTTCTGGTACTACCAATAGCGAGTACTATTGCTTTTAGTTTTAATAGCCTACCTTTCTCTGGTCCTGGAATTTGTAGTCTCATTATTTTTTGCCTCTGACATATAAAACTAAAAGTGAAATGAACAAAAAGCAGAACCAAACTATCACACTAAGAAAAGACTTAGCAATACTACTATTGGTATTACTAAAGTGTAGCAGTATTAGTACTGGTAGTAGTACTATAGTCGTCTGAACTATTTGTTACCCAGTTTGTCTTATCTTACAGAGTCATGCTAAATTATTTCTTTTGATTGTAAGCTGTAACTGAACTTTGGGAAAACATAGCAAATTTACATATTAGATCTTATTCGTAAATCAGCTAAATGTTTTAACAATTGAGTAGAAAAAACTCAACAACATTGTGCTGTATTCATAAATACTTGGAACTAACACTAAGAGTACGTATATGGAAGAGGAACAAAATTGCATATATGAGGATTTGCCCTATTATGTGCAACTCAGATTTTATTATCTGAATCATGAATCAGTTTCCTATTTTGGTCAATCAAGTTTAAAGAACAAATTTATCTTTATTTCCAGTTCATCATTGTACAGTAAGTTTTGTGGTAAATTGCTGTTTTACGAAAAATTAGTACATGTTAACTTCAGGTGTGTATCTCTAAGAAGGGAAATTCTTGTGGTTTGCTGTTTTTATTTTTTTACTTATAAGATACATTGTAGTATAGTATTTTTGGTTTAGTCAAAATTGTAGAATTTAATAGTATTAGTAGATGGGAAGATGCTGAGATTTATTTGCAGCTACTTTCTAGAAAAAAGGAAGGTATTGCTAAGACTAAGAGAAGATGGATTGCAATAGTCTTAGCTCAAACTTAAAAATTTTAAAGATTTTTATATATTTTTGTAACTGTAAAAGGATAATGAATTTTTAAGAATTTTTTTTGTCTTAATATTGATACTGACAATAAGGAAAGTGGTATTTGTAAATTGTATGTTGGTAACTTCTTTAGAAGGGGAAATGATTTTATTTCTCTAAAATCTTTTTTAAAACTTGCAGGAATTTTAGAGGGACTAATTATTTGTTTAAAGTCTGGTTATAGAAAAGTTTTTGTTTTGTTTTATTAATAGGATTTATGATTTTTTGGTTATGAGTACCCTAGATGATGTTGCTTATTGTGATTTTTAGAAACCTATAACAAGGTGTTGTGCAAAAGATTGATTAGTTATATATGTACTTAAGGAAATAATGAAAAAGTATAATACAAGTGTATATAAGATTAGCTTTATGGCAGAAGTCTCTCAGTGTTGATGATTAAGCATTTTTGAGATTAGGGGAATGATTTCATTATTTATGTCCACAATTTGGATATTTCTATGAACAATTGATTTATTTGTAAATGTTTCTTTTATTTGTTGTGTGAAAATAGCATTGGTTATTATACAAAATCAGAAAGATGATGGCACATAAATGTTGATTAAATTGTAAAACATTCTAAGTGTGTTTAGCTGTGGTGAAAAGAGCTAAAAACATTCTGGATTCATTTTATAGATATTTTGAACTTAATAGCAAGTACGTTGTTGTGTACTTATATCTTGGGTCTCATTTAGTGATGGTGTTCATTTTTGGTCATATTTCTTCAGGGAAGATAATGGATATGAAAGGGTGTAGAGGTAGACCATTAGAATAATACTTAACTTAAGAAATGTGAGCTACAGTGTTTAGTATTGTTAGGTTTTTTTACCATTTTGCTCTAGGTACGCTGTCAAAGTGGTGTGAAGAAGAGCTTGGAATACAAACTTTAATGTTATTGATAGAAGATATAAGATTTTGGAACCCATATGTAGACTAGTTCTATAACAAATTAATTTTGAGTTAGAGTTATGTGCAATTACTTAAAAATCTTTTAAACTTCATGAAAGGGTGTATGCATGTGAATAATTTACTTTTATTTATTTATTAAATTTATTTTATTTACCACCACAAAAAATAAGTGATTGACAACTTCAATAATCCAGATGGTCATTTATCACTGCTTGTTCGTTTGCACTTATGTTAGGGCTTGTTGATGAACAGTTGATTTTGTATGTTAGAGTTTTGGTCCTTTATCCTTTCTTATTTGTATTAAAGATATTCTTAGGTGCAAAATTAGTAAAGTTTGCTGATGTTAAACTCTTTTAGCTGTGTTGAGGATATTTAGGTATTACAAAATGACTTGAATCAGTTGGTAATTAGGACAAATATCTGGCAAATGATATTTAATTTATAGTAAGTGTGATGTAGTGCATTTGGTTTATAATTTAGATCACATGATTTATATAGATGGAAAGAAACTGAATAGCATGATAGAAAAAAGGATCTTGGCATTATGGTGAATGAATTATTTGGATAAAAGCAATGCTCGATTGCTAATAATAAACCCAGTAGAAGTTAAGGGTGTATTTATAGACGTATTGATTACAAGACAGAAGAAATAATTATACAAATCACTTCAATGGCCTCACTTAGAATACTGTGTACAGCTTTGTTCTCCTTATCTAAAAAGGATATTGACTTATTCAAAAAGTTCAGAGAAAGGCTACAAGGATGAGAGATGGAAGGTTTATCTTACAAGGTAGCTTAATATCTCATTTTACCAGGAGAAAAGCAGTCATTTTCATTTGATGTGTATGGTCACAAGTGCTTGAATAGGCACATGTGCAAATCCAGAAAAAGCCATATTCAGTCACATTACAATTTTAAATACTCCTGACAAAAGGGGGAAATGTATTAGCTAAAAAGATGTGTTAAGCAGCAGAGTAATAGATATAGATGTGATGATTCAAATCTTGTATACAGCAAAGAAGAAAATTATAACCAATCTTGAACATAGTAGTGTTGTGTAGTTTTCTTTTTTATAGTTTGATGAAATTATAAGTGCTTATATAATGCATGTATTCTTGATATTTCCTTGTCATAACTCATTATTTTAAGCATTTCTGTAGTGTACATGTGAAAATTAATTTGCACTTTTGAATCACCACACACACACATTACATTCATATAAAAAAAAGGCCTGAAACAATGGATAAGAGGTAATCTTATTAAAATTTACAAGACCATCCCAGGGGATTGATAGGATAAAGACTGATTTCTTTGTGCTATTTAATAATGTAACAGAAAATTTAAGAACACCAAGGGGCATGGTCCATTTAGCCTGTCCCATCAACTAAATGTTAAAAAACAAAACATTTGTGGAACTAGAAGACGCAAGTTTAAGACAGGCTATGCTACACTTAAGACCGTTTTATTTTTCTAATTGGGTTGTTGACCTATGGAATTAGATGCCTTTTGACAGTGACCAGCATGTTAGAGGACTATGATTTCCTAAAAAGTAAAGGATTGGTTTTAATTTTTACTGTTTCCAAGGGTGGCTGTGGAAGGACAGTCATGATGGTACAAATGGCCCCTTGCTGTCCATAAGTTGTATTACTAATGAGGAAGATTTGTGTGAACATTCTCATATTTTCTGTAGAATTTTAAAATTAGTAAGTAGTCGCTTGTTTCAATATTTAACGATGTGTTTTAACAGATTAATACAAATTATCATTGCTGAAATATTCCATTAGTTGTTATTAAAAATATATGTTGTATAATTGGTTGTATTTCAAATGTTAGTAAACTGTGAAAACAACATTTTGTTTTGAAAAATAATATTCTTTGTATAATTACCTCAGTCAATTCCAATACATATAACAAGGTCAGTGGTATTAAACACATACATTGATTTATAGTTAAAAATATTTTCATCTGAGAGTTTTTTTTAACAGCTTTAAGTGGTTTATAACTCACAAGTAGATGGACTGGAACCCCGATAAATAAAATGTAACAAAAAGCTGGGCAGGGCTTTTGTTGTGAGATGAGAGACTTTATTGATATTTCAATAAATGGAGAAGTTAGGACATTGAAACTGTACAATGCATCTTGGAATTACTGTAGATTATGTCTATACAACTTAGATAATGTAGATGCTATGATACTGAAGTTTTACAAACTAAAAGAGAATGCAGACATGTCATATAACACAGAAAAGTTAAAAATTGAGAATTACGAAACATATTTACCTTCTCACAACACTTTTGCATTTTTTTTTATCATCTTTGCAACTGTGGTCTGAGGCTTATCACAGATCTTCTGCACAATTTTTGGATAATCTTATTCATTTATTGACTTCTACTTAGGTCAGGTTATCAGCTTTTGCTCTCTCCCTACTATCTTGGTTGGTTTGTTGTTGGGATCTTTTGAAAAGAGATGCCCTGCTGGAGGAAACTTGTCTTCCTGCTTTGGCCCTTAAAGATCTCGGAGAAGCTCCTTTTCTCAGACAGTCTATTTTTGCTGGTATTCCCAATGCTATAGAATCTTGAGTTGATGTGGCCCATCTCCACTTTTCCCTTTCTACCCTAGCTTCTCGACTGTCCAAAAGGTCTTCTGCGGAATGGTTTCCAGAAGCTCCTGTTTGAGTTTTCAGACCTCTGGTTTCAGCTCCACAATCCATTGGAACACAAGGGCGATTCTGACCTTGCCAATGGGTATTATCCTTTAGGGTGGAGTGCAGATTACAGCGTTGGTGACTACCTTCTTGGGTCAGGTCTTGACTTGGAGGGTTTGTGTCAGTATGGGAGACCTTCACCACAGATCAGTGAGTCATTCAGTTCCCATTTCCTCCTCTATTGTTTCTCATACCAGTTGGCTTTTCATTCCCCAAGAATGCTCTTCCATCCAACTGTCGAGCACAAGCCATCCAGAATCTTTGGCAACCGTTTATTGATCTTTCTCATCTCAATTGCTTCCTTTAGCTTCCTTAGTTTACAATGAAGTCATTTCTTTCCATTCAGTGGCTCTTTCCACCTGCTCTATGGATGACAAAATTTGATGTTGCTGATACCCATCTTCATATTCCAATCGTGGAGTCTTCATGGTGTTATCTCCACTTTATGCATGACAACCAGCTTTTTCAGTTTCATGGTCTTCTATTCAGCTTTGCATTTGCCACATACATTTTTTGCCAGATAGTCAGATCCTTTTCACGTAATCTTCACTGTCATGGTACAAAAGGCTGTTCAGAGTAGATATTATTGATTAATTTATTTTATGAGACAGTATTTTATGATTTTTTTTTTATAATAAGAGAGAGAGTTAAAAGCAGACGATTGTTGGAAGTTGTGTGTATAATTCATTGATGTTGAGACTATCGATTGTCGTGTGCAATACATTGATGTCGAGAATATAGAGGTTTCTAGAAGGGGCAGACGATTAAGTGATAAACATATAAATAGTGTGAGATGAGTGGAAACAGTAGACAGACAGGCAAACAGAGCAGATGAGAAGTAAAGTTACGAGAAGGGATTCGGCCAAAGAAAAGTTAAATGCAAAATTGATCGTTGTAGGAGTGGAAGGACCTAACGATTGATATATTAAAGTGAGACTAACAGTATTGAAAGAGATAAGAAGAATAGTTTATTTTGTCAAAGAGTGTTCTGAAGTAATTGAACTAGCCTCAGTTGACCTTGAAAAATAGACAGATGATTCTCAGATATACAAAGAGAGAAAAAGGAGCAC